TGGGTTCCGGTCATTTTGGACCTGACCATTTTGGGACTAACCATTTCGGGTCCAACCATTTTGGCCCTGCCCATGTTGGGTTTGACGATGCTGAATCTAACCATGCTGGGCCTGACCACGTTGGGCCTTGCCATGGTTGGCGTAGCCATAATGGGTTCAGCCATTTTGGACCAGACTATTTTGGGCCCGACCATTTTTACCTCTGTAATTTAGAACCCGATCATTTTGGACCAGTCCATTTGGTCAAGGTTTTTTTGGTCCGACCATTCCGGATCCGACCATTTTTAATCTGACCAGTTTAGGCGAAGACATTTTTTACCTGACCATTTCGGGCCTAACCATATTGGGTCTAAATATTGGGTCTGTTATAGACTTAACCATTTTGGGCCTGACTGATTGGACCGCATTTTACAACTGACCATTTTTGTATATTTTGGGCCCAACCATTTTGGACCTAACTATTTTAGGCTTTATTTGGGCCCAACCATTTTGGACCTAACTATTTTAGGCTTTATTTGGGCCCAACCATTTTGGACCTAACTATTTTAGGCTTTATTTGGGCCCAACCATTTTGGACCTAACTATTTTAGGCTTTATTTGGGCCCAAACTTTGTCTTTTTTTGTCTGACCATCAGCTTTCTGAGCCTAGCAGATTTCATCCTTGAAATGTTGACCCTCACTTTTTTTATTTAAAAAATTTTGACTCTTCAAATTTTGATTATCGTCACAAAAAAGTCTTACTTAGGCATACCTCAATACGCTAAAAATTATCCACGAAATAGTTGGACCAAAAATGGTTGAACCTAAAATGATCAGTCACAAAATGACCAGGTCTAAAATGGTTGGGCCCAAAATAAGGAAAAAAATGATCAGGCCCAGAAATGGTCAACCAAAAAATATTTTTTTAAATATTGTTCAAATAGTCGGGACCAAAATGGTTAGGCCCATAAGAGCCAGCCCCAACATAGTTGGGCCCAATATGGTTAGGCCCATAATAGCCAGCCCCAACATAGTTGGACCCAATATGGTTAGCACCAAAATGGTCAGGTCAAAAATTCCCGGGCCTCAAATGCTTGGGTCCAAAATAGTTGAGCCCAAAATGGTCAGGCCCAAAAATTTTCAACCGCAAAATATGACAAAAAATGATCAGGCCGAAAATTACGCCAAAATGCGGTCAGATCCAGAAGAAAACCCAAATGTTAGAGCTGTAAAAAACATCTTTAATGATCTTTCAAAGATCTTTTTATATTATTTTTGGAAGATCTTTCGAAGACAAATTTTTATCTTCCAAAGATCTTTCGCATTATATTTGAAAGATTTTTCGAAGACAAATTTTCATCTTCCGAATAATCTTTCTGCGACACAAAAAAGATCTTGCAAATAATCTTTCGAAATACCTTCCAAAAGATTTTTCGAAGATCTTCCAAAGACGGAATTTTTTTTACCCGGGCGTATATTCCATGATAAATAGGGAACCATTTTTCTTATATTCTGAAGGGGTCTAGGTAAAAGTATTTTATAGGGTAAGCAGGATGCATTTGAGACACCGTAAGAGAAAAACAAAGTTATAATATGAGCGGGACAACAGCTTGCAAAACGGGATTTGAGCAGACAACAATTGACGAGACATTAGTTGACTGGTCAGTGCTGACCCGGGTAGAAAAAAACCGTCTTCTGAAGATTTTTCGGAAGATCTTCTGAGTAAATCTTCCGAAAGTTTTTGGGAGATCTTTTTGGTGACATGAAAAGATCTTCTAAAGATGAAAATTCATCTTCGGGAGATTTTTTTTTTTTCAAGAAAAAATTCATGGGAAATGAAGAAAGATCTTCGGGAGATGAAATTTTGTTTCCAGAATGACTTTCAGATACAATCCACCGATATCTTTGGGAGACAAAATTTTGTCTCCTGAATATTTTTCACAGGCAACTCAGAAAAATGTTCGGGAGATGAAAATTTTCATGGGAAATGTCTCCCAGAGATGGCCTGGATTACTATTTTCGAATGGAATTGTTTGTTCCCACTTTCTGACCCTTATTTTGCCTCTTATTGTGACCTTCATTCCTTTATACCTTTTTGCGATACCTGCCTAAAAAGTGCACTTTTCGAAACGGTTTAGTGTGCGTAAAGCGGTTATTTTCCGCACTCGAAATTCACTTTACGCACGCTCATGAGCTTTACGCACACCGTGCACAAAGACAACCGCTTTGCCCCCACTACCGTGCCGAACAGTGCACTCGGCAGGTATCACAAAAAACAGCATGTGTTACGCGTGCGTGCGAAAAAGTGCTTCTTTACGCACTAGTAACACAATAGTACATTAGAGTACAAGAGCACAAATTTCGTTTTCAATGAATGTGTAGTTTACAGGCCGAGCCGAAGGCGAGATCTGTACGCACATTCATTGAAAACGAAATTTGTGCCCTTGTACTCTAATGTACTATTATACTTTGATTCTTGTAATTATTTTTGGGCCTTATGTATTTTGCGCCTGATGCTTGGAACGCTCCATTTTAAGCCTCACTGGCTTTGGGGTCGGTACTTGAAGCTCTTAATATCTTCCCAAGCGCCAGGCCCGAAACATGCAATTTGTGGTCTCATAACTTTTGGTCCTAGCCTAGAATAATTTTATAAGCCTATTGAGTTTTTAGCCAGACTCATCGAGCACTATATAAGTCTCATTCAGTTTAGGGTTTATCCATGGTGCACTTTCTCGTCCTTATCGAGTTGAGGCCTGGACCACAAAACATCTCGTTTTGCGACTCCTGTTGTTTGGGCTCAGCATTTGGAACGTGCCTTTTCTGGCCTGATCGAAATGGATCATCTAACAAGCAGATATAACGGCTCGGTAAACTATTAAAGTAAAAAACCCACGACTCTGGCTACATCCTTTCAGATATACTCGTGGCCAAAATCGGAGTTTAATAGGGAGATATTGCTTCTATCTAGACCTATATTTAGGGAACGGAACATATACATCGAAAACGTTATGTTTCCTTTAGGGAAAAATGTACAAAAAAATCAGTGGGCAAGGTGGGAAAGTGCAAAGACAGATTTCCCGCATAACAAATCTTTCAGTTGCCTAGTGATAAAAAACTCTAATAAAGCTATTGACATAAGCTTCGTAAATAGTTTCAATGAGTAAATGGTTAACAGTGAGGAAGGAAAAGGACATGCAGTTTGTTCTCTACTCTAGATAGTTCATTTACTCGTCCACGACTCGTATAAGCCTCGTCGTACGCTTACGGGCTGTGCACGGCTCGCTTCGGAGTGAAAGAACGATCCAGACTCAAGAATGGTCTTTCAGACTTAAAAAAGTCAAAATCGAATTCTATGTTCATAATGGATGGTAAAAAGAAACAGAAACAGACCCCACTAATGTGCCATATGGGTGTTGCCATAACACATAACTGCAATTTCTCTTCGGTAACCTCGCAGCCACAGCTAATGCTGGACGCCTTCTCATTATTAGTTTCCCGACCCTGAAAATCGAATGTGGGAAATTAAGCATTTCTCCATTTAAAAAAATTTGACATCTCATTTAGAAGTGTTCTATCTCTGGGTTATAATGACAGCAGTAGGCCAACTTTTGATGAACCAGTCCAGCTTTTGAGGACCCAGTCCAGTACAAGTACGACGGGTGTTACGATTGTTACGAATGTAAAGTTGATGGCCCGAAACTTTTCGGTTATGAGTAAACGAAGAGACACATTTTGGCACAAGGTGAACGAAGCAGCCGTGACAAAATAGTACATTATCGCAGTGTGATATAAAATATTTCATGTCCCAAGGACCAAAAACCGCAATTTAACCGAGCAAAGTGAGATTACAATCGCAGCTCGTACGGTCCTTTAGGACTTAAAATATGTTTGTGCATGAAGGCAAGAATATTATATCTGATATTCAATTTTATAAGAATTGGTAATTGCTTCTAACGAAATACTGAAACCCTTGGAACGAATAACAAAAGTGACGGATGCTGCCATAAAATTCTATCATTCAATGCTCATAAATATTAAAATTATATTGAAGAATGATAAGCATTCATTTTCCACATACTTGCTATCCTTTTGATAGTAATCTGCCTGATGTTCAGAATTGCTTCAATTATTATTCATTTATCGTGACAATTTGTGTGAAGAAAACGTTCATAAATTTTGAGCAATTTATTATGATCACACTTTGCATAGAACACGCAATGAACAAGAAACTGAAAAACAAAAATAACAAATTCATTCCAAAAAATGGGAGCTTATATTGTTGAAGTTCTCTCCCCCCTCGCTGCGGTGCCATGGACCCGATATTAATCCAACTATTTTCCAACTGCATCTCGATGACTGAGGAAAACCATAAAAAATCTCAGCCGATCATTCTCGGAATTGCCCTCATGTAAGTTCGTGCTGAAATCCATAATATTTCCTCAAAATTAGAGAATGTTACGAGTGATAAACGTATGTGTAACCTAGAAGTATATTGCCGAAGGAAGAATCACATTTGGGAAATGAATGTGAGGATGACGTTGTCTGAAATACAGAAAAAACACTACGTGTCGTTGAACCCCTGCAAAGGGTGATTGCAATATCACGAGTCAGAGAAGTTGTTTTCGGTCGAGTGACGAACGTAATTTTTTTCACACTGTCTGTAAACGGCGTTTGACGGACACAAAGTGCCTGTAGAACGACGTTTTACAGACAGTGTGATGAAAACAACTTTTCTGACTCGTGTGATTACATTCCTCGGCTTCGTACTTCAAAATTTCCCCTTCAAAATGGTTCCCACTTCAAAGTTTTCCCATTTCAAATTTTTTTCCCACTTCAAATTTTTTCCCACTTCAAATTTTTCCCCAGTTCCAAGCTTCCCCACTTCGAAGTTGCCCCACTTCAAATTTTCCCCAGTTTGAAGTTTCCCCACTTCAAATTTTTCCCACTGCGAAGTTTTCCCACTTCAAATTTCCCACTGCGAAGTTTTCCCACTCCAAATTTTTCCCCACTTCAAACTTTTCCAACTTCAAGCTTTTCTCACTTCAAACTTTTTTCCCACTTCAAATTTTTTTCTCACTTCAAATTTTTTCCCACTCCAACATTCCTTACTTCAACATTCCTAACTATTTGGTCACAGGACCGAAAAAACTTTTCTGACGAGTGTGAGGGTGGCATTCCTCGGCTTCGCCTCAGTCTGCAACCCTCACACTCGTTAGAAAAGTTTTTTCGATCCTGTGACGAAGATAACTTTTCGTCACACTGTCTGTAAACGGCGTTTGACGGACACGAAGTGTTCGTAAAACAACGTTTTACTGACAGTGTGATGAAAAAATCTGTGTGCCAAACACCAACCTCATTTTCTTCTTTTCTCATATCTATCGCGTTCGCTCCTTCTCCTTTCATATCTACCCCTGCTTTTGTTTGTGCTTCTGCTTCTCTTTCTCTTTCCTTTCTTCGCGCTTCCGCTTCTGCTGTTCCTCTCTTCCCTTTCACGTCTACTACTTGTATCTATTCTCTTCTCATCTTGCCTGCTCCTGCTCCGGCTTTTGTTTCGGTTTTTCTTCTTCTTATTTTTCGTTTTTTTTCTCTTCTTTTCATTCTTCTCTTTGTCGATGTCGCTGTCGCGGCCAGCGCTGCTATCACTATAGCTGTTGCTGGAACTGTCGCTGTCGGTGTCTCTGTTCCGGCGTCGCTTTTCTCTCTTCTCTCTTTTCTTCTCTTTCTTCTTCTCCCTCTTCTCCGTATTCTTCTTCTCTTTCTTCTTCCCTTTCTCCTTCGTTCGCTCCTCGCTGTCTTCGTTATCACTGCTACTGCTGTTTCCGTGCTTCTTCTTGTTCTGTTTTTCCTCCTCTTTCTCTTTTTCCTTCTTCTTCTTCTCCTTCTCCTTCTCCTTTTCTCTCTTCTTTTCCTTCTTCTCTGCGTCAATGTCGCTGTCGCTGTCATCGTCGTCATCACTGCTACTGCTGTTTCCGTTCCTTTTCTTGTTCTGGTTTTCCTCCTTTTTTTTTCTCCTTCTCTTTCTTTCTCCTCTTTTCCTTCTCTGTGTCAATGTCTCTGTCGCTATCAGTGTAGTTATCACTATCGCTGTTACTAGAGTTGCCGCTGTAGGTGTCTCTGTTCCGACGCTGCTTTTCTCTCTTCTCTCTTTCCTTTTCTTCTGTTTTCTCTTCCTTCTTTCCCCTCTTCTCCGTATGCTTCTTCTTTTTCTTCTTCCTTTTTTCCTGCGTTTGCTCCTCGCTGTCTTGGTCGTCACTGCTACTGCAGTTTTCGTCCTTTTTCTTGTTTTCCTCTTTCTCCCTCTTCTCCTTCTCCTCCTCTCTCTTCTCAGTTTTCTTATTTTCTCTCTTCTTGCCTTTCTTGTTGTCTTCGTCCTCGTCACTCCTACTGCTGCTTCCATTCTTGTCCTTTTCCTTTTCCTTTTCCTTCTCCTTCTCTCTCTCCTTCTCCTTCTCCTTCTCATTTTCCTCTTCTTTTTCTTTTTCCTTTTCCTTCTCTCTCTCCTTCTCCTTCTTTTCCTTTTCTTGTTCCTTTTTCTCTTCCTTTTCCTTTTCGTTGCCGTTGTCTTTGTCGTTATCGAAGATGGAGTGCGAGTCCGAGTGGCAGCCGACATCTGAGTTTGAATCGGAATCGAAGTCTTTATTCATTGATTGAACAACCTCCATATCCTCTGGTCGTTCATGAATTAAAACTTCATGGACTTAATCATCATCGATGGTCAAGTCCACTTCAGGTTGTTCCGGCACTTCAGGTGGTTCCGCAATCGGTTCCTCCACTTCAGATCCAGTCCCCCCTGGCGCTTGGTTTGACGAGCCACCACGTTGTCGACTTTTCCTTTTCTCCCGGACACACAATTGAGCCACAATACGACTGTATACTCCATCATTCATACGGAGTGCTGGAGTTATGTAGCTGTTGACTGTATCTAAAGATGGAAGTATCAAATTCACTCAAGACTGTGTTGAAGGAACGTTAAGATAGAGCCTTCCTCACAATAATACATTACGTTACAAGTGTAAAAAAAGGGGAATGTTAATACGAGTGGGGTAATGTTTTTGGGGAGAGTCGTAGGACACGCGCAGCCTCGCGCTAGACTCGATAAAACAAGCCTAAGGGACACTTGCCGACTCTTCGGCAAGTGTCCTACGACTCTCCCTAAACATATTAACACACGAGTTTAACGTTCTCCTTTTTTCACACGTGTAGCGTATACTATTTTTTGAAATTAGTGTTTGGAAAAGTCAATTTGATTTTTCTTTCAATTTCATGGGAAAAATCAAACAAAATTAATAATCAATCCCGTAAAATAATCGTATCATTCATTTATGTATTGCGTATGGTTGATACACGTGGGGAGTTTTTCGGTCAATTCACGAACTAATAAGCCACAGTGCCAAGTAATTTCCAGTGGATAAGACAAGGATAGCATGCATTTGGCTGATATTTACAGGAATAACGACACTGGATTGGTCGAAAACGTAACGACTGCGCCATCTTCCAAATGGTGGCGTAGAAGCGAAACCAAAGTTGTAACTATAAAGTCAGCTGTTGTAAACGAAATGTAAATCCCGTGAACGAAAAGTATTTTTTCATCACACTGTTTGTAAAACGTCGTTTACAGACAGTGTGAAGAAAAATTACGTTCGTCACTCGACCGAAAACAACTTTTCTGACTCGTGTGATTGCATTCCTCGGCTTCCCCTCAGTCTGCAACCCTCACACTCGTCAGAATAGTATATTTCGTAACGACTGCAAAAAAGTATTTTTTGGGAAGTGGGAGGTTTATATCACGAGCCGAAGGCGAGTGATAT